GATGGTTTTCCCCTCTTTGTTTAACTGTTTGTTGTGAAACCTTCAGACTCTGGTACCAGAACCCAGGATTTTTCACGGCCAGACAGAGAGCTGCTCTGGGTTCTGCCTCTCTGTCCAGGATCATCTGCGACAACACAGACATCACAATGGTTCCGGCAAATTCTTTTGACGCCATCTCAAACAGAAACCGTCTCGTCCGCTGCAACAACATCCGAGCCCTGGATCTAGCTGCCTGGTTGGAAAGACCAATCGGTCCTAGGTGTTTAGGTTAGACATTTCTTCACTCTGATGGCGGTCTCTTCTCTGACTGCATTAACATGGTTTCTTTCCAAATCACCTGAAGGGGCAGACTAACCTGTTGTTCATGTCTAACGTTTCAGGTGCTGACTGTGTTGAAGGCTTTGGAGCAGAGGTTAGTATATAGTACTAACACAAGTGTACTTCAAATCAATATGTTTTTGTATCATGGATGTAGGATGTACTGCACAATACAATATGACACGATACAATTAAATACAATACAGTACAATATAATACTGTACAGTACAGTACACTATAAAACAATAGTTTGTAACTTGTTGATATTTGCACAAATAAACTCTTGTGCAGGCCTTTAGCAGAAAATATGTAAAAGTATTCAAAACACAATTTTTAAAAACATTTTTAAAAAATGTATGTACGCGTAGACCATTACACAACATAGATAAAATATATTTGAAAAACATAAATATTGGTAAAAATGTAAACATAATTTTGGGGTTATGGGTTTTTCATTATCGGATGGAAAACTGATAATGATTCTTACAGATATTCCACAATTATGCTAATATCGTCCGATAATATCTGTCGGCCGATAACATACAACATCACTACTTTTAATCCATGTGTTTGTAACTGTATGCTCCTTAACACAAAATTAGACTTTCAAAGTAAAAGTGTTTAATTTGCTCCTCCTCAGAATATAACTCAGCCACTGACCGACCCCCCAGTCCTGGTATTGGATGAGGTAATTGATCATATTTCTACAGTCTGTATCTTCTAATGTAACACGTGAAGAAGAATGTGGAAACCACATCGTACACAACACGTAAATAGAGACTAGATAAAAATACAAACTATGTAGAAATAGGCTACATATCGGACTCAGAACATTTCCATTTTATCCGGGTGTCCTGGACAACGAGGTAATTAATCTGTTTATCATGAACTGTTTCTTCATGGCTTTTTCATAAATGCTTTAGAGAAGCTTTGGATTTGTAGTATAATTTTGGACTCACGTGTAAAATATATATGTTGAAATATAGGGAATTGTAATTTTGGACATAAAGACATTTTCAATAGTGCATGTTTCAATGGAGCAGAGGTTGGTATATAGTACTAACAACAGAAGTTTGTAGAAAAATGTACTTTCAAATCAGTGTGTTTCAGTTTTTCTTTTGATTGATGCAGTTCATGTACTGCAGTGGAAAACAGATTAATACTAATTTTAGTGATATCTTAAATTTCCTTTCACTGACGTATTGAATTTCATCTGCAGACTCTGACGGAGCCGGATGTGATGGAGCCACTGGACCTCCAGGAGAGCAAGGTAATCGATTTGTATACAATATGATATGATACGACACGGTGCAATGCTATTACTTTTAACTACTAATCTATGTGTTTCGTATCTGTCTTACAAAATTAGACTAAAAGCAAAAGTGTTTAATTTGCTCCTCAGGATATGAGTCAGCCAGCATTGACCGACCCCGCAGTTCTGGTATTGGACGAGGTAATTCATCATATTTCTACAGTCTGTACGTAACACGTGAAGAATGTGGTTCAGCAGCTGTGTAAAGATGACTACATGAAAACCACATCGTACACAACACGTAAATAGAGACTAGATAAAAATACAAACTATGTAGAAATAGGCTACATATCGGACTCAGAACATTTCCATTTTATCCGGGTGTCCTGGACAACGAGGTAATTAATCTGTTTATCATGAACTGTTTCTTCATGGCTTTTTCATAAATGCTTTAGAGAAGCTTTGGATTTGTAGTATAATTTTGGACTCACGTGTAAAATATATATGTTGAAATATAGGGAATTCATGTCTTTGTTTTAAAGACATTTTCAATAGTGCATGTTTCCATGTAATATGATATCTATTTAAAACAGATCTAAGTTTAATTCAAGTGTCATCACAGATCTAATATATTTACACTGTGGTTTGGTAGAACCTTGAAGTATCTATTTTTCTCCTCAGATCCATTAAAACCTTCTGGTCCAGCAGGCCCCTACCGGGGTCGCTTCCTGTCTTCAGGGGTCGTGGTACTGCATCTGCAGACGGGGGACAAAGTGTGGTTGGAGTCCAGCATCGGCACATTTGGCCTGACCTCCCAGAGTTTCTTCTCAGGACACCTGCTGTCCAGTGTTTGACACAGACACCACTTGGTCTGTTGGCTTTAGGTTTTTGACGCTCCCCATCGCTGCACTGAACTAGTCCTTTTTTAATAGTTTATACTGATGTCACTGAGAGATGAAAAAAATGTGTGATTGTTCTACTGTAAAGAACTTATTGTAATTCTGATGGCGTGTACTCAAGGGTAGGAATTACCAGTATTAATATTACAGTCCTGGTAATGGTGAATGTTTAGTGTTGAGCTTTGTCTGCAGGATCTGTTCCACTGTCCTCCTCTTATTAATTGTATTTCCACTTCAATAAACACCAACAGCAAAAAAAAAAAATCTGTCTTTATGTGTGATTATGGACTTAAAAAAACAGAACTACAATCATACGCTCGTCCGTCGTTGTTCACAAACTTCTTTACGTACTTCAGGGAGGTGACATCAGTATAAACTCATCACTGATTGGAGGCTGTAGCACAATTCTGCCTGAAAAGTTAAATCGCAAAATCACGTGTTGTCGACAGTTACATTGATTGTGTACGTGGAGCTGCCACTCAATTCGCGCCTATCGCCATGAATGAAGCAATTATCCAAAAAATGATCAGGTGGTGTGGTATTGCCGTTTCAAGCTTTCTTCCCCATGTCTATCACATTTGGTGTGAACGCAACGCTGACATACAGTGTTCTCTACAAGCAAGTAGTCATGGGGAATGTGAGAGCTATGGCAGCCTTAAATTGAGTTTAAATAAAGTTTTATTTTATTAAATATTAATGAAGACTTTTAATTGTGAATTCCCACTGCTAATTATCTAGCCACAGTTTATACACAACACAGGTGGATTTAAAATAATTAAAATCTTGACATTTAGTCACTCTGCAAAATTATTCAATCCTTATTGAAATTGTGAAAAAAAAGTGTTTTCTGTTACAGCTATGCCAGCCTCAGAGCAGAACAAGTTTACAGGCAAATCACTGCATTCTTTTGTAAATTACAGATATCAAAGAAAAAGTTTATTTTTTCAAAATATTGTAAAATGGAAATAAATAGTAAAAACATTTTTTGTTCGAATCACTGCCTCAGAAATGTTGCTGTTGTTCAACCAGTGAAGGTTGGGGGAGTTCCTCCAGAACGAAGAGCAGGAAGAAGAAACTCTTTGAAACTGAAACTGACAGAAAATTCACCAGAGCTAAACGTGGGCGAGGCTTCTGTATATAAGTGAAAGCAAATCACAGCACACAACAACAGAGAAAGCTTCTTCATTACAGCCTCACTGATTCCCAGAAGGATCTCCACAGACGCAGGTAGGAGTTCAGATTTTCCTTAATGACAAAAATGTCAAAAGAATTTAGGAAGTTTTTTTCTGACTAAATTGAAATTATTATTTCCCAGAGATGCTGCTCTCGCTCCTCTTTGTGCTGGGCCTCTGTCTGATGCCTGCTGACTCCACAGCAACAGGTGAACGGCGTCACACACGGAACATACATCTCTGCAGCCTCTCCCTCACTGTACTGAATATTTTTATTATCATTATTCTCTTTGCAGAAGAGTTTCTGGGCAGTCCGTTTCTGCAAAGCTGTTTTGAGGAGGCAAAGAAAATCGTGGATGATGCTTATACCTACTCCAGAGAAGAGTGAGTTTTTAAACATAAACTGTAATTGGAGGGGCCTACAGGGGGTGTGGGGGGGGGTGCATTTCTTTTGACTGACTTTTTGACTGACTGACATATTTTGTAAATTTATTTTATTGTTATTGTTAATGTCAAAACAGACTAATACGCGAGTATCCATGTGTGATTTCACCCAACCCAATTTTACCCCTGTAGGCTTGAAGTTCAATTTTTCAAACCATCACTGATCTCACGTCATGATAATACTGGTGGAAACTGACAACAGATCTTTCTGTGACACAAACAATCGTTTAGTTTGGTTTGTTCAACCATGTGACCTATCAACCATAGGACCTTAAACCAGGACAAACAGACTAACCAGGACAAACAGACTCAGAGATAGCTTCTTCCCGAAAGCTATCTCAGCAGTGAACAATAGTTACAAAACCAGTTAAACTAGTCCACACAATTTCACACTTTACTAATCACAGTGATCACTGTGCAATAAAGAAACAACTATGTGCAATAACTAATCACACCAAAGACATGTTTGTTATATGTTTGATATATTGTTTTCTTCTACTCTTTTTTTTTTTGCATCAAGTGAGTAGTGCTCAAATCTCATTGTACACTGTACAAGGACAATAAAGGCTATTCTATTCTATTCTATTCTATGACCTGTTCTTCTCCAGGAGTCGGAGGCGAATCCGTAAGGATGCGGTGAGTCCCCATGATGTACTGCGTCTCCTCAAGCAGCCCCGAGGAGACACACGCTCAGCAGTCAGGTCTGCAGACTACATGGCACAAACCCTCCGTCTGGTGCAAGAAAGGGTCCATCATGTGCACAAACGCTCCCTCAATGCAACAGGTCAGACAGGCGACGACGACTACAACACACACACACTCTGTTACAGCTTTTCCTGGTTAATATTTTAGGTCCATATTTAAATCCGTAATCCAGAAGCAGAAGTTAGGACTTAGCAGACTTGTACAAAAACATACTGTATTTTTGTGAAGTGTTGTTTTCCACCTTTTTCAGATTTGCTCTCTGAGGACAATCTAATAAAGCTCTCTGAAATCACTGGATGTGCAGCCCGGGCCAGGCCTCCAAACTGCCGCACCATACAGAACGTAAACAAGTATCGTACCATCACCAGTGTCTGCAACAACCTGTGAGTGTATAAAAAACATATTTTTGTTCCACTTTTCCAATGTCAACATGGAACCTTAATTTTTCAAAAAACTTCAAAAAATCAATACTGATAGTAGGAACTGACTTTTGTGACATGTTGCATTAAACACTTGTGAAATGACCTCAAAGCTATTGGGCCATACACCACAGTGGATGTGAACACTTCCATGTGATTTGTTTCTAAACCTCGATGTTTGTCCTTTTTTTTTTTTCAGAAATTTTCCTCGTCGTGGTGCCTCTAACACTGAGTTTGGCCGCTGGCTGCCTGCTGAATATGATGATGGCATCTCACAACCAAAAGGCTTCAACAACAGGACCATTAACAACTTCCTGCTCCCATTGGTATAACTCATGAAAAACAGAAATCGAACACACTGATTAAAATCAACTTGAATGAACAAATGTTTCCTTCAAATTCCTCCAGGTTCGACAGGTTTCTAACAACATATTGCGCACCACAGATGCCGGCGTGGTCAGCGACAAAGAGTTCAGTCATTTGGTGACCTTCTTTGGTCAGTGGAATGACCACGACCTCACCTTCACACCCTTCTCCCCGAGTATCCGATCCTTCAGCAATGGCATTATGTGTAATGAGAGCTGTGAGAGAACAGAGCCGTGCATCCCCATTCCAGTTAGTGTTTAAACCCAAACCTCCATATTTGAAATTATTTGTTGACCTAAATAAAAAATTCCTTATGATTTTTATACCACTCTAATCCAACCAGATTCCTCCTGGTGACCCTCGCCTGCCCTCACGCCCCGACAGCTGCCTCACTGCATTCAGATCTGCCCCTGCCTGTGGAACGGGATACTCTGCCTACAATTTTGGTGGCGTTCCCAACAGGAGGGAACAGATCAACGCCCTGACGTCCTTCCTGGACCTTAGTCAAGTGTACGGCTCTGAGGAAAAGCTCGCCCTCAAACTACGGGACCTTCAAAATGATGGAGGCCTGCTACGTGTCAACACCGAGTTCAGAGACAACGGGCGGGAGCTGCTGCCTTTCATTGAAGCTGAAGAAAACATTTGTGCCACTCGCAGGAGAGTTACCAATGACACCAACGCTCAGGAGGTGCCCTGTTTCATCGCAGGTCAGTTGTGGTACAAATTGAATCTCATCCAGAGAGTTTAGTTGTAAAAATCTGGGCTTCTTCTTGGAGCTTCAATAACGTTTCTTTCCTCAACTGAGGAACTTCATCAGAAACCAAGAAGAATTCCAGTTGCTTACAACTCAACTCTTTGGATAACATGACCTGGATGAATGAAAATCTTCACAGACAAATTAAATCTCACTATGTAGTCACAGGAGAAATTATAAGGGGAATTTGGGGGTCCAAGAAATCAACAGACAGTAAGAGGCTTTCAACATTTTCAACAAGTACCCAATTGAATGCTGTAAAACTGTGATTCCAAACCACTGTGCAGTGGCCCACGAGTGTGCTGCTGAAAATGATCTAATTTCACTTAATTGGTCCCAAAAACTATTATATATTTATTGCAAATAATTTTTCTAGTTTGTCAATGCGTGACAGGCTGAGCAAAAAAATCCTCTTTCGCTACGTGGCAGCAGATGGTTATTAAAACTAAAAAAAAAAGGTAATCAGAGCTGTTAAAGAAGATCTTTGAGTGTCTTTCTTCAATTCCTGCCCGTATATCACTATACTTTCTGTGAGATTTTTGTTTGGTGGTCAATCGATGACTTCTCAGAGTTTGGGGAGCTGGGGTCAGTCCCAGAAGTTATTAGGTGAGGGTGGGGTTCACCCTGGGCAGTTCATCATTCCACCAGAGGCACACGAATAAAAAATTTAAACGCCATTAGTTGCAAGAAGTCATGATTAATCACAATTCAAAATCACAGTCAATTCAAAAGTAGTGTATAGCACACTTTCAAATGTACTGCTATATGAAGAAGTGCCAAACAGCGTTAACATCTTCGGCCGTCCTGCCAAGCTGAACACTCAGGATCACATGATGGTGGAGGCTTTGCGGGACAGGCTGTTTAAGTTTGTGGAGCAGCTGGCTATGGACCTGGGTTCTCTCAACATGCAGAGGGGACGTGATCATGGCCTGCCTGGTAGGATGATCCACTCGGTTCGAATACTTCTGAAAAGTATCATGTTTTTTTTTTACCTCCAGCTTAACAGTGGATCTTTTTTGTTGCTATCCTGCTCCAGGTTACAACGCCTGGCGTAGGTCATGTGGCCTGTCTCAACCCAGGAACCAGGCAGAGCTTGGTCAGGTATTGAACAACACCAATCTTGCCCGAAGGTTGCTAGAGCTCTATGGTACTCCTGAGAACATTGACGTCTGGATGGGAGGAGTGGCAGAGCCTTTTGTCCCTGGTGGCCGTGTGGGGCCTCTGTTTGCCTGTCTCATTGCCAGACAGTTCAAGAACGTTCGTGATGGTGACAGGTCAGTGTACCAGTGGATTTCTCTAAGAATGTTTCTTTTTGACTCTCTATTGTACCTACCTGTACTACCTGTTTGTTGTGAAACCTTCAGACTCTGGTACCAGAACCCAGGATTTTTCACGGCCAGACAGAGAGCTGCTCTGGGTTCTGCCTCTCTGTCCAGGATCATCTGCGACAACACAGGCATTACTATGATTCCAGCAAATCCTTTTGACGTCATCTCAAACAGAAACCGTCTCGTCCGCTGCAACAACATCCGAAACCTTGACTTGTCAGCTTGGACGGAAAGTCCAAGAAAAAGTCCTAGTTGTTCAGGTTAGACATTTCTTCACTCTGATGGCGGTCTCTTCTCTGACTGCATTAACATGGTTTCTTTCCAAATCACCTGAAGGGGCAGACTAACCTGTTGTTCATGTCTAACGTTTCAGGGGATGACTGTGTTGAAGGCGATGAAGCAGAGGTTAGTTTATAGTAATATAAAAATGTATTTTCAAATCAGTGTGTTTCAGTTTTTCTTTTGATTGATGAAGTTCATGTACTGCAGTGGAAATCAGACTAATACTCATTTTAGTGATATCTTAAATTTCCTTTCACTGATGTATTGAATTTCATCTGCAGAATCTAACGGAGCCGGATGTGATGGAGCCACTGGACCTCCAGGAGAGCAAGGTGATAGTTTAGTAACAGCGATGATATGATACGACACGATGCAATGCGATGCAATACAGCGTGTTACCATGTAATGCAATGCAATACAATACAATACAAAATTGACATACGACATTTTTAGGCCTGTAAAAGTGTTTTAAAATATAATAATTAAAATATTTTTTAAAAATGTGGGCATCAGTAGGCCAAAAAACTAAATGTATTTTTCATAAAATACAGGAAAAAATATAAATATAATTCTGATATTTTGATATATTTGAATCTCAAAAAACAATAATGAACAATAAGATAAACATTAAGGTAAACATCAAAGTGTTTTTATTAGTTTTCTATATTACAACTATTACTTTTAACTACTAATCTATGTGTTTCGTATCTGTCTTACAAAATGAGACTAAAAGCAAAAGTGTTTAATTTGCTCCTCACGATATGAGACCCCGCAGTTCTGGTATTGGACGAGGTAATTCATCATATTTCTACAGTCTGTGCATAACACGTGAAGAATGTGGGTCAGCAGCTGGCTGTGTAAAGATGACTACATGAAAACCACATCGTACACAACACGTAAATAGAGACTAGATAAAAATACAAACTGTGTAGAAATAGACTACATATCGGACTCGTTTTTTAATTTTAGGCAAAGAATGCAGGCCCGACGGATCCTCCGGGTGTCCTGGACAATGAGGTAATTCATTTGTTTATCTTGAACTGTTTCAAAATGTAATTTTGTACTCACTATAAAATATATACTGTATGTATATTTATGTATAAATATAGAGAATTTATCTCTTTCTCTTGAAGACGTTTTTCAATAGTGCATGTTTCCATGTAATATGATATCTATTTAAAACAGATCTAAGTTTAATTCAAGTGTCATCACAGATCTAATATTTATACACTGTGGTTTGGTAGAACCTTGAAGTATCTGTATTTTTCTCCCCAGATCCATTAAAATCTTCTGGTCCAGCAGGCCCCAGAGGCACTACTGGTCCTCCTCGTCCCACCTCACCCCCCAACAACAACAACAATTCAAGTCCAAGTCCAAAACCATCCTTCTCTGTGGCCCAGAGCAACTGCAGGCCGTCTGCAGATAGGATCATTCATTTTTGTCAGGACCTCCACAACCACCTAAGTCTCTACAGTGCAGACACAGGCCGTGTCACCCCCGGTGTCTATCAGTTCCGCTTCTTCTGCCTGTCTTACATCAGTGCAGGAAAGGTGGACCTGTGGCGTAACAGTAAAATGGTATTTCGCAGTTTTAATCGTCAGGTTTTTGACGCTCCCCGTCGCTGCACTGAACTAGTCCTTTTTTATAGTTTATACTGATGTCACTGAGAGATGAAAAAATGTGTGATTGTTCTACTGTAAAGAACGTACTGTAATTCTGATGACGTGTACTCAAGGGTGTTTAGTGTTGAGCTTTGTCTGCAGGATCTGTTCCACTGTCCTATTAATTGTATTTCCACTTCAATAAACAACAACAACAGCAAAAAATAAATAAATAAAAATCTGTCTTCATGTGTGATTATTTTTAACTTACTGTTTGAGCAGTTGTGTCAATGAATCTACCATTAGAAATTGTTTCATTTATAGCTTAAAACGTTGTGTTTAAAGTAATGGGACAAATGTAAAGGGTAAAGCATCTCGACTGAATGATTCATTAATAAATGGGGTTTTTTGGACTTTAATAGTTTATATAGAACACGTTTGAATGGCAGACGTCTTTAAAAACGTTGATGAACAATCTTACCTGTAGATGGAGACATTTTTCGTTTGTTTTCGTCCCGTGAACGTGTAGTTCAATGTCATAACGGGTGGGTTTAAAATATTACATTTGAATTTAAAAAAAAGAAAAAAAGTGATTTAAAAAATGAAGTGAATCAAAGTCAAAAGTCATAAATTATTTACCTTACATTACATCACATCCCGGGTTTATTAGAAATGGTTGAGTCCGTTTTCTATCCACCATTTTGTTCTCTAGCACAGCAGTTTTTGTCAAAGGAAAATGTGAAAAATACCGTTGCTTTCTCATTTTAGTGCGATTAAACCTCGAACGCTAAATACTTTCCACGGGAACTGAGATACTGTTTGTGGGCTATTTATTCAAAAGCTATTGTTTTTTTTCGCTATTTCTGAGTGAATGTTTAGCTTACCTGTAGCAGCGTCTCAGCTCAGCCTTGACTATGTTCGAAGCTAACTGTGGCTAATCGTAGGCTAAGTTGAAACGGCGCTGTACTGAAATGTCTTATCTCCCGCTGTGTATTCAGCTGCATTTGGCCAAATTTAGGCTAATATTAAATGCAAGTTTTACTTTAATTTTATTTAACATTATAAACCATTTCTAGGCTTGTTTTTTTTAGTTAATTGTAGTTTTGTAGTTTACCGGGAGTTATCTTCCATCCCGTTTTTTCTTCTTTTTTTTTTTATTTTTTATTATTGATTAACACAGTTTATCTATTTTTTTGTCAGGCTAACTTTTTGTTATTTTGCAGTAATTTGCTAAGTTAAACTAATTCAGTTTTTTATTATTATTTAAAAAAATATCTTTTTGTGTGTAAGTGAATGGACTAAACTTTAGTCGTCTTTTGGATTGTTATTTTTTGTAAACATGTAATTACCTGTTTAAACTCAGTTACACTGTTGTTTTTAGTCACCTTCTGACTTACTTTTTATGAACCGAACTCCGACAATACTTTGTAATAAGTAATTGTAATTTCATTTGTAAATAAATATTTGAATTTTTTTTAATCCAAAGCTATAATCTTTTCATTCCGTAAATGTTTTAGGGCAATTTCCTTTGAGTTACTGCTACCGGTTCCCCAAGATTAAAGGAAAGGTTAACAACTCAGAGGTAACTAATCAAATTAGTGTGACATTCTGATCACATATTTAAAACACTTGCAACTATTTATTTCTGCATTTGTGTCTTTTCTGTCTTTATCTACCTGCCCACCCTGAAGAGGATGTGGGTGGAAAGGAAAGAACAAGCACTTTGGCAGAGCTTACACACAAACATTTACACATGTGGTTAACAATGTGTCTGTTCTGCAGCCCATATGGGCTGCATGTGTTGACATACTGCAGGTGGAACATGTTGGTGGTGGATCTAGGAAGAAATGTGTTTTTCTGCAGCAAAGTAAGTGCGTTTACAGCTGTGCGTCATCTTATGAAAGGTGATCAGGAGTAATAATAAATATTTATAGATGTAATTAGGTACAAGACACAAATACATGTCTGTAGAAAGACTGAAAATGACCATGGAATTTAGGAGAGTCTCAAACCAAAACAACTGTGGCCTGACGACAGTTCATCTATTTTATATTTTCCTCTAAAAGATGATAAAAATGTACAAAACTGACACCAACTACAAACTGTCGACTGAGGCCATAAACTTCAGTAACAGAATTGTCATTTAGCATTAAAACGGAGGTTCTCAAACCATCATGTGAACCACAGTTGGCACTTGGGCTCCCTCTACTGGCAGACAGCGAGACTGAAGTTTATGTGCAAGTGTTTATGGCTAACAACTGAACTATTAAACTTATTAGGATTCAGTTGTCCCTGTGGTTAACTGGACTTATGAGCTGCTATATTTTGATGGCGGTCAAAATGGTGGTACCCGGTACTGGTGGAGAGACAAATGTTTTCAGTTATGGTGCACAGTGTAGAAGGTTGGAGAAAAAACCAAAATGATTAATTATTGTTTATTAATCCCTAAGTTTGTTTGAAATAAATAAAGTCAGTGCTGTTTTCTTTCTTTCTTTTTTTTTTTTTGCAGTTTTAAGACATTGAGAAACGGTGATGTCCCATAAATCATCACTGTCTCATAGAACAGAACACAGTATAAACCAGCAGCAAACACCACAGCAGTGAAATAACAAACGGTGAACGAATCCAAACAGGAAGTGAGTTGATTTACAGTCTGCTTGTGTGAAAGACAGGGAGGTGAAAAATGACAACAACATCTGCAGGAGTCGCTCCCCGATGTAAAGGTCTGAGGGTTGTGTCTGGATGAAGAGCTCCTCCTCCTGGTGGCTGCCGCTGCAGTGTATGTGCAGAGTGCCACGTAGTCCTCCACCAGACTACTGTGTGTGTGTGTTTATGATGAGTGAAAGTGTGTGTGTGTGTGTGTGTGCGTGTGTGTGGTGCAAGCCCCAACTTGGTGATCCAAGTGTAATGGAAACCTAGTATTTATGAAAGAGGAGAAAATATTTGAATTGTCTGTTTCTGTCATTTAGTCGTGAGGTGAGGCTGCAGCTCCAGGGAGTCTGGAGCTGCAGAGGGAGGTTCAAGGAAGTGTAAAAAAAAACAAACAAACAAAAAAACAAGTGTGAGGAGTTAGACTGATTAATCAGGAGGAGCAGCAAATAAAAACAAAGGAATCGGATCAGGGAGAGTTGTCTTTTCATTAAAGACTGTGTGTGTGTGTGTGTGTGTGTGTGTGTGTGTGTGGTCCTGGATCTTCCACACACATGGAAATTAGGGTTTTTTTCAAAAATGGATTTGTGATGTTCTGAAAGAAACCAGAGGCTTTAAGGTTTTTCTTTCATATCAGTCGGCGCTCAGACAGTTTATTTAATGAAGTAACACATCAGCTGAAGCCAAATAAAGACTTCACTACAAAATCTGGTCATAGTTTGTTGGTAAACTTAGAATCATGAAAAGACGGTACAACCCCTCGCTCCTCCGACATGGATTTATTCAAATTCCTTCAACTTTCCCTCCCAGAAGTCCCTAAAAGCACAAAACGGTGGTGGGATCCAGCAACGTGGACAAAAGAATTTGACTAATTCTTTACAGATGTGTCTCAGAACTGAGACGGGGAACACTGAGCTGCCGTTGGCAGAGGAGAAAAAAACAGGGCATTGCATGGAGAAGGTTGAATGAATTATGAGTGAAAAACAGCGATGACTGAGTTCAGCTGGTTCTAAGTGTCTGTCTGGTGTTCCAGGGAAGGAGAACGGAGGCAATCCAGGAACACATAGTTTTCATTCTCTGTAGAAGCTCTTGGTATGCACAACCACACCGGTCCACATTTTTCATCCTCTTAGCAAAGATGCAATCACATCTGGATGCAGAGAAACGTGCATTTCTGGCTTTTCAAAAGTGTAAACAAATGCTTCTGTTTAAATAACATACAGCGAAGAGACAACGCCGAACGGAAAACAGGAAACGCACGGGGGAAAAAAAGTGAAATTCCTTCATTTTCAGTCACTCTTCAAGGACTGTTCTCTATTTTGTATTGTCCTGATCGAGGTTCAGTATCACAGCACACTTCAGGGTTTTATATAAAACGCGGCACAGGTATATTTTCAGAAAGTCACATGACCACGCTGAGGTTCTGCCTGCACCGACGTCCAAGAACAACTTCACTGGACTCCACAGCACCATTAGAACCGATTCACGTCCAAAAGAAAATATTTTCAGAAGTGTTGTTATTTTTCCAACCTTCTTGGCTTTTATTTATGTCTTAAGCAAAATATGCATTTCTTGTAATCTCTTGCAAACTCACACATGGCCACTAGGACGTCTTAGCACGCCTCATTAAAGAGGTAATCATTTTTAGCACAAATCAACTCCACCTCATGTTCAACTGTGTAAAAATAGAAGGTTAGAGTAAAGTAGGAGAAAATAAGATAAAGATCTTATATATACATATATGTAAATATATAAATATATACACATATATATAACTAAAAATTCATAAACCATAAAAAGGAGGGGCTAAAATGATTTAAAAAAAATTAAAAGAGTGACTTTTTACGTTTTTGTTCCACATAAAGGTAAATAAATTAAAATGATTAAAAAAAATTTATTAAAATAGTGACTTTTTATGTTTTTGTTCCACATAAAGGTAAATAAATAATAAAACAATATAAAATACGTAAAGTATAAACATAGTTTCAGCAAAAAATAACAAGAAGAAAATGAAAATGCCAAAAATGTGCAAACACTGTCATTAAAAATGCTAAAGAAGTGAATTAAAAAAGATCATAAACAAATTACAAATGATACAAATGTATAATGTGCTGTATATGTTTATTTTGGCCACTAGTAGCGCTGTTCTGCACATTAACACCCTGGTCAGGTTAGGGTAAAGGTCAGGAAGCTACTGTGGTCACGGTTAGAAATAAAACGGAATAAAAATGGTTGTAGGTTGTGTTATTTTTAAAAGTAGTTCAGACAGAAGAACTGAAAATGTTTGTAATCTTTTTGATCCAAATCTGTTTTTGTGCTGAACTCACTGCAATCACTGACACCTGCGATATCTAAGAGTTCAGTTTTAGTCTGAATGACCTTTATTTATTTAAGACAAATGACTCAGATTTACTCCCTCGGTACACGGGATTCTGCCAACTCAGCTTCCCAGAGACTGTTGCATTCTGGGAAGAGAAGAGATGGGACAGGCTGTGAAATACTGTAAGTGTTACGTCATTCAGAAGGTTCCGAATGTGGTGTGGGTGTTCAACACGTGGCTTCGTAAATTTATAGACGGAAAGACTTGAAGTGTAGTTTAGTTTGGAGGATGCTGAGTACGAGAGTACCAGTCCTGTACCAGAACTGTACCAGAACTGTACCAGAACTGTACCAGAACTGTACCAGAACTGTACCAGAACTGTACCAGAACTGTACCAGAACTGTACCAGAACTGTACCAGAACTGTACCAGAACTGTACCAGAACTGTACCAGAACTGTACCAGAACTGTACCAGAACTGTACCAGAACTGTACCAGAACTGTACCAGAACTGTACCAGAACTGTACCAGAACTGTACCAGAACTGTACCAGAACTGTACCAGAACTGTACCAGAACTGTACCAGAACTGTACCAGAACTGTACCAGAACTGTACCAGAACTGTACCAGAACTGTACCAGAACTGTACCAGAGTACCAGTCCTGTACCAGAACTGTACCAGTCCTGTACCAGTCCTGTACCAGAACTGTACCAGTATTGTACCAGTGGACTAACACCATTTGACTCTGTCTGACCACTGACAGATAAAAGGTCAACAAAAGGTCAACAAACCTCCAGACTCATCATTTCCTTGCATCATGGTCTCATTTTATCATTGTCAACTTTTCCCGTTATTTAAAAAAAATACAAAGTGAAGAAAACTGCCCCCTCTACTGACCGGGTCGTTCATTTTTGATGAGGTACAATGACCAAGACTGGTCGTTCGAGAAGCACTCATTTTTCTATAAAAAAAGTTTATTCACATTTTCAGCTGTAGCTCAGAAATACTCTGTACTTTATGAATGTAGGATTTTAAATGCAGTACATCCGCCGCCCTTCATCACTCTGATTGGTCTTCAAGGTCTGCTGCTCCCATAAAACTTTGTGAATTTGAGAGCCGTCCTGACGACTGCACGGAGCGCTGTGATCTGGCAGCCGGTGGCCGCCCTGTGGTCGATGGTGTTGATGCTGTGTAGAAAGAACTGGTTTGCTCGACAAAGTCAAATGAGTACTTTAGACCGTGTGTTCTCAAGCTATCAATTATCCCCGCGTCGCTAACGGCAACGACTGGTGCATCATCTCACATCACAGATATCTGTAGGAAAACTCACAGAGGACGTTGTATGTTGTGGAATCATCAGATCTGGGCAACAACCCTGTCATTAATTAACACATTAATTAATTAACTCACTCGGTTTTTTTTAATGCAAATTAACGACCAATATAAGTTGTTTTTTTCTTTCCTTTTGAGGTGATGTTGATCGATGCTTCTTTGGGACTGGTGACATCATCAACCAATGAGAGCAGTAGGGGCGGGGCTTAACTGCTGCAGCGCTCACATGAACCAGAGCAGAAAAGGAACTGGCCGGGATAGAACTGGAGAACTCAATATTCTTGTACCCATCGCAAAGTTGTATTTCGCTTTTGAAGGAATACTTCAAGTTGGACAAATCACCCTGTATCATCAATTGCACGTTTGTCCATGAAGACGTTGACTATTGAAATGAAATATTGCGCAATACACTGAGCTTGAAATGTTTGTTTTTCTGTCCATGTCCGGCCCAGATGTAAGCCATCAGTGCCGCGTCATTGCCTAAAGTGGCCCACACCCGGAGCCTATCTGGAGAAAACCAGAAAACTTCATTTGGTCGACGGCCTTCCGAGCTGGTCGAAAATCACAGTGGGATGCGTGTCATGACTCCAGCAGACAGGACGGTGACGCTGCCGGGCTGAAGCTGGGGGTTTGTGGGGAGACGTTTTCCTTGAAAATGATGGAAATGTTGCAGCGGCATCAAAGAGTCGTGTTTAGGTTTTCTGAGTTCATCCTATGAGAAAGTGGAGGAGAGACGGAGTCTGGCACCGCGTGCTGCAATTTCGTCGGGAGTTCTTCCAGCGGTGAGGAGGAAAGCTGTTCATCATCATCATCTGAGGAGGAGGAGGAGGAGGAGGACACGATGAAGACGATGGACAGCTGTGGATAACGAGCTGAGACATTTATGTCCCGTCAGAACCGACCGGGACGGACTTCACACACTTCTGTCTGTGCTGTGATCGATGGGGGAAATGAGTGACGACTTGGTCGAACACTGTAAACAGCTTTTCACAGTGAAGCGCCGCGGCCATCACTCACACACGTGACCGAGGCCGATCACACGTCCCGTGTCCAGCGGTTACATGAGGAGCAGCAGGCCCATAAAACGCTTCCACAGAGTCCAAGTGAACTGAACTCCTCCTCCCCCTTCTCCCCATCTTCCTCCCCCCACCCCCTCCTTCTCCTCCTCGCCATCATCCCATCGCTGTGCGCATCTGCGGGGCTGCAGGAGCAGAGCGGTATGAGTGAGACTTAGTCGCTGTCCTCGGGTCCTGCTCACAGGCATGAAAGACATTTAGATGAGAGACCAGTGGGGACCCGGGCTCGTCTGATATTTCTGATTAGTCCTTGATCCGCCTTCATCATGGGATTACGCGTTCTTGGCGCGCACTTTTACGCGTTCGCGTGCGTCTATTTATTTGCCTTTTTCCTGCAAGCTTCCCATTCCCAGAGAAGTCCCGGGACTCAGCAGGTTAATGGCCAGAGAGCGGCTCCCAGGCACACGCTCCAGTGGTCACACAACGGCCAGGTGTTTAGCATTTTCAGCCACGGCTCGCAGTACCAGCCACCGAGGCGCCGCGGCGCTCAGCAGGAGCAAGTGCAGCCCGGAACCGTCACCATCACCCGCGATGGGGGCGCGCGGGGACATTCAGACAACCAGAGCCCGTCAGGTGTCCACCAGGAGCAGCAGCAGCAGCAGAAGCAGCAGCAGCACCAGCAGCAGCAGCAGAAGCAGCAGCAGCACCAGCAGCAGCAGCAGAAGCAGCAGCAGCACCAGCAGCAGCAGCAGAAGCAGCAGCAGCACCAGCAGCAGCAGCAGAAGCAGCAGCAGCACCAGCAGCAGCAGCAGAAGCAGCAGCAGCACCAGCAGCAGCAGCAGAAGCAGCAGCAGCACCAGCAGCAGCAGCAGAAGCAGCAGCAGCACCAGCAGCAGCAGCAGAAGCAGCAGCAGCACCAGCAGCAGCAGCAGAAGCAGCAGCAGCACCAGCAGCAGCAGCAGAAGCAGCAGCAGCACCAGCAGCAGCAGCAGAAGCAGCAGCAGCACCAGCAGCAGCAGCAGAAGCAGCAGCAGCACCAGCAGCAGCAGCAGAAGCAGCAGCAGCACCAGCAGCAGCAGCAGAAGCAGCAGCAGCACCAGCAGCAGCAGCAGAAGCAGCAGCAGCACCAGCAGCAGCAGCAGAAGCAGCAGCAGCACCAGCAGCAGCAGCAGAAGCAGCAGCAGCACCAGCAGCAGCAGCAGAAGCAGCAGCAGCACCAGCAGCAGCAGCAGAAGCAGCAGCAGCACCAGCAGCAGCAGCAGAAGCAGCAGCAGCACCAGCAGCAGCAGCAGAAGCAGCAGCAGCACCAGCAGCAGCAGCAGAAGCAGCAGCAGCACCAGCAGCAGCAGCAGAAGCAGCAGCAGCACCAGCAGCAGCAGCAGAAGCAGCAGCAGCACCAGCAGCAGCAGCAGAAGCAGCAGCAGCACCAGCAGCAGCAGCAGAAGCAGCAGCAGCACCAGCAGCAGCAGCAGAAGCAGCAGCAGCACCAGCAGCAGCAGCAGAAGCAGCAGCAGCACCAGCAGCAGCAGCAGAAGCAGCAGCAGCACCAGCAGCAGCAGCAGAAGCAGCAGCAGCACCAGCAGCAGCAGCAGAAGCAGCAGCAGCACCAGCAGCAGCAGCAGAAGCAGCAGCAGCACCAGCAGCAGCAGCAGAAGCAGCAGCAGCACCAGCAGCAGCAGCAGAAGCAGCAGCAGCACCAGCAGCAGCAGCAGAAGCAGCAGCAGCACCAGCAGCAGCAGCAGAAGCAGCAGCAGCACCAGCAGCAGCAGCAGAAGCAGCAGCAGCACCAGCAGCAGCAGCAGAAGCAGCAGCAGCACCAGCAGCAGCAGCAGAAGCAGCAGCAGCACCAGCAGCAGCAGCAGAAGCAGCAGCAGCACCAGCAGCAGCAGCAGAAGCAGCAGCAGCACCAGCAGCAGCAGCAGAAGCAGCAGCAGCACCAGCAGCAGCAGCAGAAGCAGCAGCAGCACCAGCAGCAGCAGCAGAAGCAGCAGCAGCACCAGCAGCAGCAGCAGAAGCAGCAGCAGCACCAGCAGCAGCAGCAGAAGCAGCAGCAGCACCAGCAGCAGCAGCAGAAGCAGCAGCAGCACCAGCAGCAGCAGCAGAAGCAGCAGCAGCACCAGCAGCAGCAGCAGCAGCATCCCCGTGGACACGTGTCTCCGCTCCAGCGGCTGTTCAGAGGATCCGAGCGACGCCAGCATCACCAGGAGCGCCCGGGGACGCAGACGCGCAACAGGTCCAACGACACCCAGGACAGGGTCTCTGTCAGCCCGTCCCTGCCCAGGAGAGACGACATGATGGTCGGTGACGACCCCTATGACCCCTACAAGTCATCTGACCCCGACAATCCATACTACAATTACTATGACGTTTACGAGAGACCCAGACCGAGGTCCAGACCCGGCTATGGCACAAGGTATCATCAGTACGGTAAGACTGGAGAGTGGTCCCCAAACCAGCAACCTCCTAATGTGCTTTTATTTCCCCCTGTATTCTCACTTTGATATAAAAAAAACAACATGGATACTAGGAGCTGACGTCACAGCCCATAGTTATTCCATAATCAGTACAAAGAAATTCGTTTTTTTCATCTATAAATGTTTTTAAAGAAGAACATTGACGTTTACGGTCAAAACCTCAAACAACTGTAAAAAAATCATTCCTACAGTTTTGTTTTGTTTTTTTTCAGCATTACAGAGAGCTGTACGTATGCAGGCAGTGACTTCAAGATAAACATTCTGTACAGTCTCTGATAGATCTGGAGAAAGAGTTCCAGATGGAGGAGTCTGGGGGGAAAAAACTGTTGGGAAACTTTACAGGGTTAGGGAGAGCAGAGTTCCCTGTGGTGACGGCAGGAGTTAGTTAGTTAGTTTAACAATCACCTACAGACACAACTGACGTCCACAGACTGAAGAAACAGAAACTACAACAGTCTTGTCCTGCGACACCTGAACGCCACATTAGTGACGTGCAGCTTTTGTTTCTTAATGTAGAGGAAGTAGTAACTTTTTGTTAGTGTTTTATTACCCA